TCCTTTTTTGTTTTCTTTAGGTCACGAGCAGTTGTCCAAGCATTTCACTACATATCGTACTGTGTATGACTGTGTACGTGACAAATAAAATTTGAATTTGCTCAGTCATCCAGATAAGTAAATCCCAAAGAAGATTCTGTTCTTCTGGACGTAGCGCTCTCAGTGCGAGAAACGTTTCTTCACTCATCCAAGTGACTGCAACTGTACTTTTTATAAGATTGGGGAAACCCGCAGTGAGCTGAGACTGAAGAAGTCACCTGGATGAGTGACAAAACGTTTCTCGCACTGAAAACGCTACGTCCAGATGAATAGAATAAACTTTTGTGCATTGAGGCTGTGGGTACTGGTAGTGTAGTGATATAGGGAGGATTTTCTTGACACACCTTTGGGTCCATTATCAACAACTGAGCATTGTTTAAACATGACAACCACATGAAAGAAGTCCCAATGTACCCATCAGAAAACGGGTACATTGTGTCCTCCAAATCTGAGGTCATAGTCCTCAGCCGGAAAAGGGTGCAGCGCCCACTCCAGGTTAGGGACGAGTTTCTGCCCCAAGTGGAGGAGTTTAAATATCTCAGGGTCTTGTTCTCGAATGATGAAGAAGAGAGCGGGAGTTCGACAGACGGATTGGTGCTGCAGCTGCAGTGATGCTGATGCTGTACTGGTCCATCATGGTGAAGAAAGAGCTGAGTGTAAAAGCGAAGCTCTCAATTTACTGGTCGATCTACGTCACTAACAGGAGATTCACATCATGTATGTGCAGCTGACAAATCTGAAGCAAGTCTGTGATTATGTTATGTCATCATGAAACAAAAACTGAAGTGGAACTGGAAGCAGAGCTTTCAAATGGACAACACACACAAGCAAATTCAAGAATAGCTAAAAATGAAGTAATGGATGTTTATGCTCCACCAAAGTAAAAAAAACTGAATTCCCCAGAAACGCTGTACAAACATTTGAATCTGGCTGCATGCAAAAATCTGAAGGGGATTTTTTATGAGTGTGGTTAAAATAGCACCATGTAGAAAGCAGAAGTTGTCTTTTTTCCTCCCACGACACGATATTCCTCACTATTGTAGTTACATCGTATCCTACTACGTTCTAAACGGAAATACAAAATCCAGTTTTTCAGTGAATGTAAAACCTAAAGAAACAAGCAAGAATCAGGAAAAAAACTGAGCTGCCGTTTCTTCATTTTTCAGCAAACACAAAATTATTTTAACTTCTAAAATCAATCCCGCTTTTGATACCCAAAAAGACATTTTCCATCCTTATTTGAGGAAAGGAATAAGTGTTTCTATCTTGGCCAGGTCTCCCTTGAAAAAGAGGTTTTTAATCTCAATGAGATCTTCCTGGTTAAATAAAGGTTAAAAAAAATAAATTAAATTCTTTTTAGTAACTGAAGTCACTTTATTAAGTTATTATTTTTCCAGGCTTCTTTGTGGATAATGCAGTGTGTGTGTGTGTGTGTGTGTGTGTGTGTGTACCTGCATTGCATAAGTCGTTTTCAGAACAGGCCTTCAGTCTTGACACCAGCTCGGGGATTCGTTTCCGATACTTTTCCACGATGGTC